CGTTAGCGACGCGGACACTGACAGGACGGATTTCCTTTTAAGTGACATGAGCCAAGGCTCACCTACGGCAGCAAGGGAGCCGAGGCCACTGAAGGGACAGATAAAGCATAGAAACTGTCTGCGGTTGCTTGCATATGCGGTTCCGTTCACAAGTGCACTCGCTCAGGGCTGTGTGATTTATCAGCTGCTCGGCAGGCACGTGCGTGTGTGGACGACTGTTCCTATTGGTTAACCTCAGCGGAGAAATGATTGGGCGTGGTCGACCAATAAGCTCTCCGCAAATCACTAAGTGTCATTTATCAGGTGAGAGGTCTGTCGCGCGGGCTTCCGGAGGGCTGTGGCCGATTCCATGAAGACGAATGTTTCGTTTTGGTACTAAAGAGCAAACATTACCGAATTCTGAAGCCATCCAGCTCCAACAGCTTTAAGTTTTGCTTGCCTAATGCCAATCTAAGTGACGATGTCACCTTCTGAAGCGTCAGGAATTTATCATTTTAAATTGCAGATATAAGGAGATGAAATGGCATGTTCAACATTACCTTTGCAGGCCCCTGTTTACTTGTCTTCGGTTTTGATTAGCCTTCATAGTGTGTCAAAATTATTGAAAATAACTGCTAGGGAGGTTTCTTCTCAGCTAGGTTTAACTGTACAAAAAACCGCTTTCTTCTGTTTAAGTGTAAGTTGTAACGATAACGTTTGCACTCGTTGTCAATATAAGAAGTGTCCAGTAACCTTAAAGGTACTCCGCGAAACAGACACATTTTCTAATGGTCAAGCAGACCCCAGGCGTCCAAAGGAAGTTAGTTCTTTACTAGATGCCTACAAGTATCCAGGGCTACGGGCAATATTGCATTTCCGTCTGCAGTAAAGTAAAATTTTCGAAAGATCCATGGTAACGATCTGGTAACAATAAAGTTAGTCGTCCGAGGTCCAGAATTCCGTCCTTTAAGGCTCGGTGCTATAAGTCTGACTTTAGTTTTACTATAATTAAGTTTCTAGTTTTAGTTAGGTTAATTTTAGCTTAGTTTATTTATCTAAGTTTAGTATAAAACAGTTATTTAAATATCTATCTAACTTTGGCGGCATCTACTAAAATAATGGTTACCAATCCATGTTTCAATTTTCGCTGTAAATTTTTGAGACTCGCCGCTCATCGTTAGACTCCATGTGTAAGAGCCAGCACGCAGTGCAACTTATATCACTAACACTCCAAATCTGAAGCAAAGACTTCTGAATAGTAGCGCTCGAAGGTGTACCCAAAAACAGGGATAACTTTTTTTAAATTTAAGATAACAGCTTAAAAACATTAATTCAGTAGCTGGTATGCATTTGTTTCAACGAACTTTTCACTGTTCGACTATTTTTGTATCCTTCAGAACTACCGCAGAGTGAAGTGCCTCCAACGATTTGTTTAAAAACCTCTTATATGTTTTAAAAACGCTTCCCGTTTAGGTTTTTCGTCACCCTTGGGAATATGTAGTCGCAGGAGTCCGGTTGGATGTGAACGCTGTGTGGTCAGGCGCGTTGAAGCGGTCAGCCCTCCGACTGCAATGGCTCAGATTCTAATTTTCTCTCTGTCTTCCACAATCGCTTGAGCACGTTCAGGTAGTAATGTTGGTTCACTGTGCTATGAGGGACAAATTAAATGTGACTAACTCCTGTGATGTCGAAAAAAACAAACCGTCATTGACGTGATGCTTCTTAAAGTGTGTCTTCGCGAAACTGTCGAGAGCGTTGCGGAGGGGCGGGAAGGTTAATACAACAGCTACTCTGTCCGCTTCAATGGTTTTTCCAGAATGCTACTCGACTAAATGAGCAAGAAGAGCGTACAGTAAACGTAACTAACGAAAGAGGACAGCACTTTCAACTCACTTGGCTACAGAAAATAATTCAAATTTTTTGGGTACCTCCGTAAATGTTCAGTTGCTTCCTCATTTGAAGAATATGGATTTTTCGTCTATTCGCAAGTAGAAATTGAAGATCACGATCCATACTGCCCTTGGTTTATTTTCAACTGTTATCTTTCTTTCAATCTGACCTCTGGAAACTGCCACGTGATTAATAAAACAGAACCTTTGATGTAGCCACCACCAACCCTCCGACCTCTGGATACAGCCTTTCCTAGTTCTTTCTTCCCTTGTCTGGTATGTTACCCGGTGAGTTGTTTACCTTATTCCTGGTCTTCTAAACCCAAACTACCATTCGTGTCTAAGTTAAGCTTTCAAAAGATACTTTACCTTAAATTAATACTTTATAAGCGCTTTTAAGTTTATCATCAAATCAGCCCTTCATAGTTTGGTCTTTTAATATCAATTGCGTTTTACGTCTTCCTATTCTATTATTATTATTAATCAGCAATTTCTAGAGCTCGCCAAGAACATATTTTCACCATCACCCCTATTGATAGCTACTCGTTCAGTTACGTCCTTATTATTGGCAGTATATGATCGATGCCCATCAACTTTCAAAGATGACGAACATTCGGTGCTTTCTAATCTGCCCGGAGCGAAGCCAGATCCTTCGGTGAAAGCTTGTGTTTCGCATCCCTGACAATTTTCTTACTTCCGACAATAAAGGAATTCGATATTTTGTGTTTGGCCTTGCCAATACTTCTCTTTGCATCACTTTTTTTATACGTTTTTGAAGCTTTGCTTTGATGTACATTAGCCAAATACTTGTAGTGACCTCTTATTCTAAGCCATGCTTTGCTTACATGCCTGTGGGGCATGACCCGAGTGTCTAGCTTTCTTGCCTACCGGTCCGTGTGCACTAGAGGGTCCAGCCTCCGATTAAGGTCACTGACCTGTCTGGCCAACTGGCCAACCGCCTCCCTAGGCGAAGGCACAAACGGATCATAAGGTGGCGACTGCTTATTCCCAGACACACCCAGAACCGACGATCTACTGTTCGGTTGTAGTTGTCCGGACCCGGTGATTTACTTGTCGGACTGCGCCTCTGGACTCCAGCCCATTCATGGCTGGACTGCACTTGTCTG